AGTGGATAGACTCACCAAGTTTGCTTGTCTTATCCTTATTGATATTAGATATTCCTTAGGGAGAATGATAGAGTTGTACATCAGTGAGGTAGTGTGGTTACATGAGATTTTCTACTAGTATATTTTATGATGGGAAATATTTAGGAAAGTGTTATTTGGCAATAGAAAGCAAGAACCATGAAGTTCATCCATTTAGGTGTTTGATAAATTTCGAGGAAGAAATTTCTAAAAGGGGGAGAATTGTAACACCCCAATTTTCATACTTTTTATGGAGGGTAATTTAGTAATTTTCATAAGATTTATTGAGGGTAATTTAGTAGCCCAGAACGGGTCGTTCTCAAATTGGAACGGGCCAATCCAAACTACTAAAAATACCTATTTTTGGTTGCCTAGAACGGGCTGTTCTCAAACTGCAATGAGTCTTTCCAAACCACCAAAATGGCCTATAACCCTAGTTGGTAACGGGCCATTCCAAAGTTGGGAACGGGTCGTTCCAAATATGGACGTTTGAGTTAAAACTCATCTCCGGAACGGGCCGTTCTGGTTTGAGAACGGGTCATTCCAGATGTGAATACTAATTATCAACCATTAATATAATACTAACTTAAAATCTTATCTAATTATATCATAATATTTTCACATCAAATTTAAAACCAGATATTAGTTATACAAAAATATTAAGATCATATACTAAATTTTCAATAAGATTTTAGTTTAATAATATAAAATAATTAATGTTTCAATTATATTGTTAATTAGCAAATAATTTATTCCAAAGCTAATTAATTTTTTCTATATTACGTTAATTTTGTTTTATAAGAATAAAGTATCAAATCATCTTGGATTAATATAAAATTTTGTACATATGATTTAAGAGTAAAGAAATTTCAATTTAACAGTTGGATTTACAAAATTCTCATTTAAAATAAAGTTATTGAGCGGTGTAATACTTAGTAAAAATTATACCGGTGTTATTATAACTCTCATCATATATATATATATATATATATATATAATTTTATGGACCTTTATTTAGATATGATTGTCAATTTTTGTAAAAAATTATTATATTTTTGACAAATATAAATCTGTTGGACATATTCCATCAATAATATAACTTTTCTTACGAATTTTTTTTCCATCAAAAATATAAATTTTTCGACAGATTAATTTATCATAATTTAAAAACAAATTTAACATATATTCTTTAATTTTGAATAATTCTTACATATAAAAATTTCATAAATAAAATTTAATATTTTTGAGAGAGATTAACATATTCCTCACAAATTTCGTCATAAAAAATTTTAAGCTATTGGTGACGAAATTTGTGACAAAATACAAATGTTGACAAAAATTCTGTCACAAAATCTGTCACTAATTTTATTTATTTATTTAGTGACGGATTAAATTGTCTCTAAAAAATCCGTCACTAATTTTATTTTTTTATTCAATGACGGATTAAATTTTGTCTCTAAAAAATCCGTCACAAAATTCTTCACTAATTTTATTTTTTTTATTCAGTGACGAAAATTTTGACGGATCTTTTAGAGACAAAATTTAATCCGTCACAAAATTCAATAAATGGTAGTCCGTCACAAAAATTAAAATTTCCTCACAAAATTCATCACTATTAGTGACGATAGTTTTTCCGTCATAAAAATTCGTCACAAATATTAATTTTTCTAGTAGTGTTGAAATGAGCTAATAATAGTACAAATATCATCATTGAATACTTGTGGTATAAAAGAAGGGAACTTAAACTTGAGTGGAAACATACCACATGAAAGAAACTTGCACTTGGGAGAGATTGGTGAGTACATAGGTTTTATAATTAAATGTTTTTGAAAATAAAAAGGTTTCAATATCTCAAACAGTTTCAAAAGGCTTTATGTGCTTTTGCCCCCTAAAGCCTAAAATCATTTTTAAGATCCCTCTTTGGAAACCATGTCATCAAAGTCATTAGTTAAAGAATGAAGGACATGAAAACAAACAATTGTTGCTTTGCATGCACTCTTGTCGTGGAATCATTTGTTTTAAGGTAAAGGATGAATGAGTTCATTCATGGGTATAACAAACTTTGTATGTAGAGGGGTTGGCCAGAAACCCTATAGGGTGTTTCATGTTACTTTGATTTCGATGAGTTATGAATGCCCTAAATCAATTCTTGTATTTTGATTTATGATTTGGCTATTTTTTTGTGTCATATGTTTTGACCATTTTTTGTACTCTTGATGAAATTAAGGATTTTTTATGTATGTGTAATTGTAGAAATTGTTAATTAAATAATGTGTTTCTAGGAAAACTTAAGTAAGAACATGTTAAGATGGTTGATTTTATACCTTTAGGACTTGTTATTATAGGTTTGGATGAGTTAGGGTTTCATACCCTTAGAATGGTTATTTTCAAATCCTTGCACTGTGGGGACCTTATGCTTATAAGCATGAGAGTTCCAAGAGGCAATGCTTGCTCTCTATTCCCTTGACACCAAGGGAAGGGTGAATGATATTAAGTGTGAAAACACTAAAAAGTAATCTTTACTCTTTGACAATTTGGTGTTAAATGTTGAAAATAGTACATTAGGTGTTGAAAATTTTGAAATCAAACCTTGATCTTTGTTCCCTTGGCACAAAGTGAAAAGAGTTTTATGTTAAGCAAGAGATCTAAAGATCAACCCTTGCACTCTAATCCTTTGATACTATGTAATGAAAATTTAGTGTTAAACGTTGGATATCTAAAGAGAAACCCTTACTCTTTGTGCTCTCAATGCTAAGCATCCAAGAGAAACCCTTACTTTTTGACCTCTTTAACACTAAGTCTAGGGAAGTTCATGATGAGCATGGAGTCCTTGATGACATAACCTTGCCCTAGTGTGTTTTATGACTTGATCATAATATTGTATGTATTGCTAGAAATGATGATGAACAATGTATATATGGATGATATGTATGATGTTAAATGAATATAATGAAATGCTAAGGTGTATGTTTTGAATTGATATAAATGAGGACTACACTATAGAGGTAGGATCCTCATAGTGGGATACTTGTGAAACCATAAGAATTATTTGTGTGATCATTCATCAGTACTAGATGGGTTGTTTTTTTTTTTTTTTAAGTTCTTACAAGAACTTAGTTGGTGGTAGCCATTGTAAAAGCCCAAACATACTGAAATAAGAGGAATTTAGAAATTTGTATAGGTGCGCGACTATATAGTTGAGAATGACTTAAAATCAATTAATTAGTACTATATATATCAACAAGATGCATCTATTATTTGGTAGTTCATCACATAAAAACTCCACAGTTAAGCATGCTTGACTTGGAGCGATTTAGAGATCAGTGACCTTCTAAGGGAAGCTTTCCAAAAAGCTTTTGTGAGTAAGGACAAATCATGCTAAAAAGTCTTGTATTGGTTTGTAGGGTAGTGTTGATCCTAAAGGTGACTAGACATCTAAAAAATGGCTATCCACGAAGGGCTCTGATCAGTAAAAAGTAATGACCAATTAGGAGTTATGTGAAGTATCACCGTGTAACATGTTGTGAAGTGAAATTGCTACGACGTCAAATTTGAGAGATGTTACAATTACAAAGGGTTGGTATCTCTAAACATAAGGGTGATGATACATAGTGAGGAAAATTTATGGTTTGTATTAATCTCATGCCAGTTGGGGCATATTACTATAGCTCGGTAACCTTGACTAGTCACTAGGGGATAATAGACTAATTGAAAGAGTCGATTGTAGTTATATCTTGTGTTAAGGCAACCCATCCACTTCAAGCAATCATAGACCACTTTCAAACATTTTGATATTATACTACATGCATATGAGAAAACAGTTATATCATGTGTTAAGGCAACCCATCAATTGCATGCACTCGTAGACCACTTTCAAACATTTTGACATTATACTACATGCATATGAGATAACAATTATGGAAAGTGCATAGCATCACTTATATTTGTTTGAATTACTAAAATGTCTTAAATAAATGGTTACTCATTTTTGTGTGCATGCGTTCTACTTACTTCCTTTGCTATACTCTAGCATGTTGTAAGGTGCACCTCACTCCATTTTTTCTTGTGTATGTTTCCATGATATTGTTGAATACGTGCAAGACCATGTTGATGATGGTGTTAGAAAAAAAGGCTTAAGCCTAGAGTCTTGCTAATAGTTTGCTTTCTTTTTGGTTTGTATACTCTAGCAAGCTATGACAATTGGGCTAAACATATTGGATATTTCCTTTTATGGTTTTAGATTTATGCAACTTTTTTATTTGAATTGTTTGATAGTTTTTGGAGTGAATTTTTTTTTTAAGTTTTATATATAAGACTCAATTTATAGTGTACATGTTTTTGTTATGTGATGTACCTACTCATAAAACATCAATAAAAAACATGATTTTTATCTATCCTACATATGTTGATTAATCTATTTTTGTAATATGTAATAAATATATTATTTCGGGATATTAGGTGTAACAAAGTAATTTTGCTCATTGTTTCAACCTCTAAATTATTTTTTGGTCTGATCACAAGTATTTCCTAATACATTGAGTTGAATATTAATCTCTCTCATTTCACAACTCACCAATTTTGGTTTGATAAGGATGTATAACTCTTTTTCATTAGGTGGATCCCTATATAAGTAAAATGATATACCTCCATTCACCACTTTATATCCAAGATAAGGATTGAATTTGATTTTTAGACGAAAAAACGCAAATGTTGAACCACTGAAACTAAAAATATTTATTTCCACACAACTAATAATGACAATAATAAACTTAATTTAAATTAATTTACCAATAATAACATTTTCATAATAACAATAATTAATACAATTTATTTCAAATTTTTGCTAACTTTTATTTATTATGAAGTTATTTCTCAATTGGAAATTTGTTAGAAACTTTAAAATAAATATTTCTAAAAGAAAAAAAAATAATTGCCAAATTCAGAAATAATGTTTAGAAAAAGAAGAAGAGAAAAGAACATACAGTTTGGTAATGTGGCAAGTACTATTTTCACTGTCTTTGAAACAATCACATTTGATGAAAGGGTTGTAAGTTCTGTCAGCAAAAAGTGTGTCATCGATGGCCCTTCCACTGCATAGGTCACCACTTATGTTCCAATGATCAGGATTTGCCTTTATACCCCATTTGCTAAAGATTGCATTCAAAGTTCTGGCTGCATAAATAATATAAAGGAAAAATTACATTTCAATTTCAAGTATTAAAACCAAAGCTCGGGTGTTCCAAAAATTTCGTTTTAAATTAATACTATAAAAAAAAACATTGAAATAGCTGTGAAAATAAGAGTTAGCTAATAGCTTATGCAAATATTGTCAAAAAAAATTAACGCTAGTTTAAGATATAGCGTTGGCTTTTTTGATATTAAATTTAAATTGAGTTTAGTTTCGAAAAAATTGACATTATTATTTAAATATAGCATCGGCTTTTTTAGCACTAACTTAATTTAAATTAATGTCGGGAAAGTTGATGCTATATATAAACAATAGTGTTGACTTTTCTAACACTAACTTAAATTAAGTTTAGTGTCAGAAAATCTGACAGTATTTCTCTAGATATAGTATCGATTTTTTTATGCTAATTTAAATTAAGTTAGTATCAAAAGTTGACACTATATTTAAAGAATAGCGTCGACTTTTCTAATACTAAATTCAACTTAAATTTAGTGTCATAAAAGTCGACGCTATATCTAAAGAATAATATTGACTTTTCTGACACTATATATGCTTTGCGAGATAAAGATATTTTTTCAATTTTATATGTGTATTATAATGTGTTGGTACAGTTGGTTATCAAGTTAACTTAACATATTGAGGTCCCAAGATCGAGTCTCGACAATGCTAAAACAATACGAACAAATAAATGACAAGCTAAAAAAGGAATATGAAAAAAATAATAATAATAATCTGATTTAATTGAAAAATAAATAAAATTTAATTATAAAATATTTTTGTCAAAAATTAAATTCAAGCATTTTCTAATGATTGAAACTTAAAATTTCACCCTCATATATCTTTTTCAATGTACTAAGAAAATATATTTTATTATACACCCCTTCTCAAAAGTTAATATCAGCTTCTTCAACAAAATTTAACAAGGTGCGTGATTAATGAATGATATGATTTTATTAAATGTATTAAAAAAAGCAACTTTTAGATGAAATATACCTCCTTGTGCTATACATAATGTTTTCTCCGCTTATAGATTATCACAAGGTGTCTGATTAATGAATACTTTACGAATAATTTTGCCTAAATTTATTTTATTTAATAATTTATTTATATTATGAAACAAATTTCAATAATTTAATATTAAATTAAAAGTTTTTAATATATATTATTTATAATTTTTTTTAAAATTAAAAATTATTTGA